CGACTCAAATAGATTTACTATTCACACCAGCAGGATTAGATGCCATACATACATACATACTGTCCACTTACCATGTACAATGAGATGAATATTTTTACTATTCACACCAGCAGGATTAGATGCCATACATACATAAGTACCACTGTCACTTGTATGGACACCATCTATTTGTAAAGATCCATCTGATCGAATGTAGTAGCTAGGATCATTGGGAGATATAATTTGACCATTCCTCTGCCATGTAATTGTTGGTTTAGGAGTACCATGTGCTGGACACCGTAGAGTAACAGTTGTGTCTTTTATTGCAGTGTAGTTGCTTGGACTGTGACCTATCACTGGTGGAACTGGGCAAACAAGTGTCACATTAACATAACGTAAATAACCACAATGAATTGACTTAGTCTTTTCCACAAAACGAAACAAAACCCTAACCCTAAACCTAACCTTAAATTTTGAATGACTTCAAACATAGCAGAAATATATTTGTCAAGAATATTTAGTTTCCACCTCTTTTCCGCCTACTTTGCAGCTCAAATCATTTGTGCTGACATGACGTGACAGCCATTTTGGAATTGTTGAACACTGACGGCGCTATTCATTTCGTGCTTCACAGTGTGAAATTTTCTCAGATATTATTAGGCCAATGACAAAAAATTGAGTTAGGGTTAGGGTTTTGTTTCATTTCGTGGAAAAGACTAAGCCCAATGAATTATATATTTTTGGAAAATTAAGCAGCAGAATAGAAGTTAAACAATTTTATGAGGTACATGTGGCTGTCAATGATTTAATGAAAACTTTATTTCTCTCATTTTTAAACTTATCATCAATTTAAACTTCTGAAATAAAGTGCACAGATTTCAACTAAAGTTAATTACTTGTGTTTATAAATATGCCTGTACATCAAAAATCACTGAACTAGTACTGTAAAATCTGTATTAGAAGCTGCGGCTTCTATTAAAATGGTACAATACAACATAGGGGATGTGGCTTCTATTAGAGCATCTACACATATAAGAAATGGTGAATTTTTGGTTCTCAATTGTTCAAAATGAATGGGTGCGACTTCTATTAGGGATGCGGCATCTAATACAGATCTTAAGGTATATTGAAATATTGACAATGCCCTACCCACCATCATCCAGAGACTACCAATCAAGTGGTGGCAGTCATCAGAAACAACATGTATCGTTCATTTTATTATTTATGTCCACTAACTTGCAAATTTTAGGATTATGATGGATGAGAATACCACAGGTAGGACTGTAAAATTTGTATTAGAAG